ACTAGGCAAAAATATGAAGCAAAATAGTGCTACAAAGAGAGAAATAGAGAGTTACCCTCGTAGAGCAGACCTCCAGCAACTTCTGGACCAATGTAGCAAGCTTTCAACCTCTGAAAAATAGCTCCAAGGTGCTTAGAGTGATGGTGGAGGTGTTATGCTTGGAGGTGTAGTGCAAATGGCCAAGAGCTATGGAGTTTTAAAGCTTGAAATAGAGAGATATGGAGGGAAGTGTATGTATGCCTTCACCAAAATTCTGAACCCTAGCAATGGAAGAGGGCCCTTCCCTTTATAGAGGAGAAGGTCTAAAGCTTCTCAAATAAGCTTAAAAGCTAGCTTAAACATCCTCCATACACGTGTATGGAGGATGCATTCTGAGGCTTCCAGCTGGCACAACTGCCTTCAACTCATTGAGACAAAAAAGCAGAAGACTGGCCGACCAGTTCAGGTGGTCGGCCGACCACTCCCCCTGGTCGGCCGACCAGGGGTCAAAAGGTTCAAGCTGAAAAGGTGGTCGGCCTACCCATATTGGTGGTCTCCCAGGTGAATGCAGCTCAGTGGTGGTATGAGAGACCAGAAATTGTGGCTCAAAAGTGAGGGAGACCAAGGGGCCAAAAGGGTCAAGGAAAAAAAGGTGGTCGGCCTACCAAGATTGGTGGTCTCCCAGATGAATGCAACTCAGTGGTGGTATGGGAGACCAGAAATTGTGGCCCAAAAGTAAGAGAGACCAGCTCTCTAACAAGAAAATCAGGCGGCGAAGAGAAAGGTGATCTCCAAGAAGAAAAGGTGGTCTCCCACCATAGTACCACCTTCCTAACAAAGAAACTAGGGTCCATGCCAAAAATGAACCCACACCGATGCAAAACAAAGGTTCGGGGGCCAAAACGCACAGCCGAGTACCCTAAAAACAGGCTGTTAGGCACCGGAGGTGGCGTGCGACCACAAAGGTGGTCTCTCGGGCCACAGTGTCCCTCTAAGGAGAGGAAACAAGGTATGTGCCAAAAACCGGAGCAAACAGAGGTAGATAAACGGTCCCGAACTGAGGCACACGGCCGACGGCTCCGAAAATCGAAAACTGGTCTCCAAACGGGAACAACGGCCTACAACCACGAAACGTAGCCTACGGCCACTGAGAGATGGTCTACGAGACCTCTCCCTCCCTTCGGGAAGAGAAAACAGAACCTGATTCACAAACTGAGGCAAAGCACAAAAGCGTCCCGAGGTCTGGGGGTAAGACTCTCAACCAAAACTCCAAAATCTCGGAACGAGCACAACATGCGCAATCACCGAGCGGTCAATCGATGACATCTGAGTCTTAAGGTCGGTCAAAAATGGGGTGTCTACATGGGGTAAGAATTATGCTTACCACTGGTATATTCAGAGCTATCAGAGAAGTACATGAATTTTGTGCCGAAAGAAGGGGATTAATTGCAAAACAAATTGAAAGAAGATTATTTATTGCTATGACAATGTCCAAACCAAGCCGAACCAAATAAAACCAAGCCTTTAGTTCCATTGCAAAAAATTATGAAACATGCAATTATCACTCTTAAACTTGGTTTTGCTGCATTTTTTTGGTATTGTTCAAATTGAAACCATGAAATCATTTGATTCAATAATATTATATTAAGCTATTCATGCATTTTTTATTGTTCTTAATCATTTTTATTATTTTGAAGAATCATTTGAGTTCATTTTGTTGTCAAATTAGAGTTGCTTTTGAAGAATCATTTTGTTGATTTCTCATTTTGTTGATTCCTCATAGCTATTGGGTTTTTAAAGCAAATTTAAGCAAGTGCTTTTGTTGCAAGTCGCTGATCCGTATTAGAAACCCTGGATGATTAATTATTATTTTTTAGTTAGATAGGATGATTACGCTAAATGTTTTTGCCAGTTTATTGTGTAGAAGCAATTTCAACTTCTTATTTGTGAAGTATTAAACTGGAGTGATATATCATTTTAAATTGATTTATTAATTGAATTCCGTAACACGTGTGGTACTGAAAAAATTATTGACCGTGCCTTCAGGCACGGGTTATCCCTAGTATATATATATTGGGGATAAGTATCCTCAAAGTTTATTAGAAGTGTTGTTTCAATAATTTCATATTTTGAAGGGCAAAAGTTTTTATGAGATTAGAATGACACCATTAAGAGCATCACTAACACGTTGTGCATCTCATTCCTTAAAAAATAAAAAATAAAAAGAAAATAAATAAAGCCTAGATTGAAGTAATTTCTTACAAAATTGACTTTTATTTTGAGAAATAGAACGGTTTAATATTTTTAAATTTTTGTAAAGGATTTTACATTATGCATAAAAGGAACTGCAATAAAAAAATGTATAATATTTTTAAAAACTTGCTTAATATTACGTTCAGAAGACTTTTATGATATTTATATACATTCCGTTTATTGAGAGACATATTAAAGATAAGTATTTTAAATTAGGGTTTATTAACCTGGGTTTATGAGATGAGTAAAACTTTTAGTATAATGATGGTATTATATTATTATTGACATTGGTATCATTATCTAATGAGTGGGTGAGACCGGCACAAAATAATTGTACTATATATGAGAATCTTCTAGAATATGTTTGTTTTGAGATATTATTCTATGGGATTAGACTATTAGTTTGAGTCTATTTGGACTAATAGTCTATTGTTTAGTTCAATTTTTTTGTTTCGGATTAATAGTACCTCCGGACTATTAGTCTCTCATATGAGGGATTATTGTATCCAAGGAAGGTGGGCGGGATTATTTCTATGGGATTGGTATCGCATGGGATTAATGTGTGAAATATCTATTTTACTCTCATGCTATTACTTAATAAACAACTGGAAAATAGTAAAATAGTCTTTTAAATATTGATAAATTATTTTTTTAGTGTTGTTAATTAAAAATTATATATTAAATAAAAAATATAAATTATAAATTTAATTTAATTAAAAATAATAAATTAAAAATTATGGCCTTATAATTTTTTTAGTGTTGTTAAAAAATTAAATTTATATATTAAATAAAATTATTTTTTTAGTGTTGTTAATTTAAAATTATATATTAAATAAAAATTATAAATTACAAGGGTAAAATAGTCTTTTAAACATTTATCATTATCCAGTCCGTCTAACCAAATATTGGATTCAATAAAAATAGTTCAATTGGGACATTTAATCGCATGACTAAACAAACATAAGATACAAATCCAGTCCAACCAAATAGTCTGGAGACAATGTATCTAAGGACTAACGGTTCGGAATACAATGACTTGCACCAAACATATGAATAAATGAGACTTGCACCATTATAAAAATATAATTATTTTTTCAATATTCTACTAAAGTGCAATTTCCACTAGTAAGGGGTTGTTTGATTAGAATTTTTTAGTCAAAAAAACACAAACAAAAAAAATAGGCTAAATAAGTCAATAAGATAAAATGTTACATTTAAATTATAATTATTTTATTTTTCTTTTCACAAAAATTTTAAAAAATCAAATTAAATAAATTTTAATTTCAAATTAAAATAGTCACTAGTAAGGGGTTGTTTGATTAGAATTTTTTAGCCAAAAAAACACAAACAAAAAAAATAGGCTAAATAAGTCAATAAGATAAAATGTTACATTTAAATTATAATTATTTTATTTTTCTTTTCACAAAAATTTTAAAAAATCAAATTAAATAAATTTTAGGCCTCGTTTGGGGACTGATTATTTTAGCCAAAAAGTCAAAAAGCCAACTAAAACTAGTCACATCACTTCTCTACTTTTCTGCACATCTTTTTGTAAAAAGTCAAAAAATTACTAAAATAGTCTGTTCCCAAACGAGGCCTTAATTTCAAATTAAAATAGTCAAAATATTGAAAAATCAACTAAAAAATAAAATAAGGTCGCAGGGCAAAACCTCTGTTTTAATTGGGCCACGCTAGATAACATTTATTCATTTATTTAACTTCAAGAAGAAAAAAAAATACATTTGCGCGAGCCAGTCACGATCAGCGGGTGGGACGCTTACATTACACTGGACACAGTGATAAGTTTGCCTTACCAAACAATAATAATGCGGACCATCGGCAGTGGTGGCCAGTGGTGAAAACATTGACTTTTGTTGATATTTCGCGCGGTATTTTAATTGAAACGTGGCTTTATTGGGATGATTAACGAGGTTCATTAGTGTTTTGGTCGTGAATTTTTTTTTTTTTTATAGATTGAGCCTCTGTTTGGGAAGTGGGTTGGTTTTTTGACTTTTTGATTTTTTTGGTTATTTTAGCCTGGGCTAAAAAGTTTGGTTTGGGAAGGACTTTTTGACTTTTTGGCTTTTTTGATTTTTTTTGTGAGAGAAGAATGTAATGATTATGGGTTGGATGTGATGTTTTGTTTGTTGTGGCTAAAATAGCCTGTTTTGTCTTTTGTGGCTATTTTAACCCCAACCCAACTTGCCAAACACCACCTCAGAGCTAAATTATGTTAGTAACTGGTTATTTAGGGCCTAGGGTCTCACGATCGATCAATGCTATTGGTACCTTGATAATAGATCCCTTCTTATGTGTTAGATTAAATCAAGTCATCAACCGATTACTCTGGAGCTTGAATCTACAAATGCTATAATGACACTTCATAACATTCTTTTTGTTGCTAAAAAAAAACAATAATAATGTAGTTCAAAATAATAATAGTAATAAATTATAAATACACTCAAGTGTGATCTTTTTTTATTAATAAATAATTAAATTAATTAATAATTTATATTTTAAATTGTAATTTTAATAATTTTATTATTATATAAGAGTTAGAAATTTAATTGTTTTATTAATTTTATTAAATAAAAAAAATTAATAAAATTATATTTATAATTTTCAAAACTATAAAAACAATTCATATATTAAACAAAACTTCTCATATGTTTATAATTAAAAAAAAAAAAACTTGAAAATGAGGACAAAGAATATTATTTTTGTATTGCAACAAACAAAATATAAAATAAAAAAATGAGGCAGAGACCCAGATCTGCTTGCAAGTATACTCTACTCATCACTTCTGTCATCATCTCGCATGAGGTTGGTTGCAACCCAAGAAGAAAGAAGTGGCTTTTCTTTCCTTCTTCTTCAAAATTCAAATCTCCCAGATCTAAACACGCAATAGGTTAAAAAAAGCAACCAAGATCCAAAACCCTTTTAATCTCTCTCTCTCTCTCTCCCTCTTTCTCACTAGTTTCTCTCTCTACAGCCTCCCCATTACTATTTACCCTCCAATCTCTCTCCAACAACACCATGAATGGTTCTCTGTAATTGGAGTCTCTCCAGATCAAAGGTGAGTCAAACCCCCCTAACCTCTCACCAATACCTCTCTCTCTCTCTCTCTCTGAACCCCATTTTCGTATTATTACTTGCTTCAAGACGCTATTTTTCATTTGATTACCAAATTGCGCTTTAATTCTTGTTTTGAGTAAATTCTAAGGTTTTGTATCGATGAAAGAATTGAATTCCACAACGGACCCAATTGGGCAAAACCTAATAAAACTCATAAGCAATGTTTGTTTCTCAGTCTTTGTATTCGCAGTACTCATCTTTACTGTAATTGCCATCACTTACCAACCTCCCGATCCATGGGAATCCTCTAGAACCCTCACTAGGGTTTTCACCCAAGTTGAAAATGCCACCTTCCAAACCGACTCTTCTGTTCTCAAAACCGGCGAAGATGTCGCTACCTCCCCTGTTGCGGCACCACCCAATGCCTCGGTGGTCCCGATTACCGAATCAGTCATTGAGAAATCAGAAGACAAAATGTCAAATCTCAGTTTGAAATCCGGGGGTTGTGAGGACATGACTGCGGTGAATTGTTCTGACCCGCGAGTTTTGATTGCCATTGAAAGGTTTAATTTGAAGTTCTTTAAGTCAATTGTGTTTCTGGAGTATCGATCTCCGGTTAATGGGTCGAGACCAGACGAATGTGATGTGGCGTGGAGGTTTAGAAACAAAAAGGAGAAGTCTTGGAGGAGGTATAGGGATTTTAGGAGGTTTAGGATTGGTTATGGTGAAAACTGTACTTATAAGGTGCTTAATGCAAGAGGTTGGCATTCAGGTATTAATGCCCGCAGGCCAAGGAATAGAGTCAATGTGACTAAGAGTGGTGGGGTTGCTAAACTTGCTCCTCCATTTCGTGATGATGAGATTAATGACACTATCCCAGTTTTGGGTTCGGATGCCTCTTTTAGGAAGGGGAAGTACTTGTACTATTCACGCGGAGGGGATTATTGTAAAGGAATGAATCATTACCTTTGGAGCTTCTTGTGTGCTCTTGGGGAGGCTCAATATTTGAATAGAACATTTGTGATGGATTTGAGTATTTGCTTGGCGGCTACTTACTCTGGTAAGAATAAGGATGAGGAAGGAAAGGATTTCAGGTTCTATTTTGATTTTGAGCATTTGAAAGAGGTGGCATCGATTGTGGAGGAAGGCGAATTCCTAAGAGATTGGAAGAAATGGGACAAGACTCATAAAAAGAAAATCCCAGTCAGAAAGGTTGCAACCCATAAGGTTACCCCATTGCAACTTAAGAAAGATAAAAGCACGATTATACGGAGGCAATTTGATGCTCCTGAGCCGGAAAATTATTGGTATAGAGTTTGTGAAGGAGAAGCTGCAAAATATATTCAGAGACCTTGGCATACTCTGTGGAAATCGAAGAGACTGATGAATATAGTTTCTGAGATAAGTGGCCGTATGGACTGGGATTTTGATGCAGTTCACGTGGTTCGAGGAGAGAAAGCACAAAATAAGGAGATGTGGCCCCATTTGGATGCTGATACATCCCCAGATTCCCTCGTTGCAAAGCTTCAAGGGATGATTCAACCTTGGAGGAATCTGTACGTTGCCACCAATGAGCCATTCTATAATTACTTTGATAAATTGAGGTCTCATTACAAGGTTCATTTGCTTGATGATTACAAGGAATTGTGGGGAAATACGAGTGAGTGGTACAATGAGACAAGGCTTTTGAATGGTGGCCGCCCTGTTGATTTTGATGGATATATGCGAGTTGAAGTCGACACTGAGGTCCTTTACAGGGCAAAGACACGTGTGGAGACATTCCATAACTTGACCAGTGATTGCAAGGATGGGATCAATACATGCTGACAAGGTTGGAGACACCCGTTTATTGCTTTTCCGTTAATTGTTATACATCTCTTTGTCCATTTGTTATTCAGTTGGAGAATGATAATACTGGGTTCATGTCATTGCCTTTTGTGCTATTGGTGATTCAGTTATTTTAGTGATTATGTTGATTGAACATTCGTGTTGGTCATGTCAAGTCTTTACATACGCAATAGATTTACCTTTTACAGTTGTTGCTTGTTCAGTTCTCTTTTTTCTGTTATTAATCACCACAACATCAGACAACATCTGTTGTCTCCTTTTTATATTTTTCTGTGCAGTGTCGACTATGGTTTATTATTGCACTCTATACCAATTCAAAGCATCAAACAAGGTGGGCAATTGATGGAAAAACATTCAAATAAACCTTTTTGGCTTCTTGAAACCTAAAGAATTGGAATGTGCAACTCATGAAGTTTCCTTCAAATCCTTTGCATAAGTCTCATAAAAAATTTCCTGTGAAGCATGCTGCCTTCTCAAATTGGATGATTTTTTTTCCTTTGTTATTGTTTTTTTTACTGATCTTGGCTTTACAAAAGGCTTCGTAGATTTGGGTAAGGATTTTTGTAGGGCAAAGAGAAGGGGAGGAAAATGTCAGATGAAAAGGGAAAAAAGAGAGAGAGGAAACTGTGTTGATGATCTCTCTCTTGCTTGATCATATCATACCACTAATTTCTTTCATGCATCCCCATTTTCAAATCCAATAGACTCAAGTAATTCATTCCATGTATGTTCCTTTGTGTGAATGCGCATCAGTTCACTAGTGAAATGCCTCCTTGGCTGTTCTTTTTAAATAAAATAAAAATTAAAAAAAAAACTATTTTTCTTGGAAATTGAAATAGAAGCAGTAGCTAGCAATCTGTGACTGTTATTCGTGGCTGTTTTATGTATAACATACTCATATCCAGCAATCCAAGCCAGTGTCGGGATATTTATTGGCACTACATGGGTATGATGTGTTACCGTTGTTATTGGCTATCTATATAGAAATGCATTGTGGTTCACTAGATCTATGGTATTTATTTGCAACTCCTTGTCGTCAAATTGGTCAACGAAAAGTTGAAAGCAATGTTTTATGCAGTGCATAGAGCTTTCTTTATCTGCAGGAATTAGGAGAGGTAGTAAATAGGCCAACTTTGAGTTTGAAGGTAAAGAGATTGAATGGATTTGATGATTACAAAATGCCCCCAATTGAGAAAATTGTTTCATAGTTCATACTGAAGCTACTGGTCTTGTAATGTCTCTGTCATTTCAAATTCTATCGGTGGGAGTAATTTTCAGAATTTGCATAAACCTACCTAATGGCATGTCACAATGATCACACACATCTTCTCATCTTCTTCCCTCAAACTTCCAATCAACAGGTGTTTATTAATTTGTGGTTTTGTATTATTTCACAATTTACCTTACCAATTAGTTTCAATGGTGGCAATTTGCCACAAAATTTCCATGCAATTAATAGTTGAAGAAATTTTCAAACAAGGAAAAGAATGTGTCACGGATGAATTTCACTTTTTTTTTCTTTATTTATTTATTTTTATTATTGGTTTCTAGGGATTGGCATGCACATTTTGGTAAGAACCACTAAGATTTTTGAATTCTGGGTTTTTTGGCAAAATACTTTCATTCAACTCTAGAATGGTAGGTCACAGCTATCCCCCCCTCATCCTCTGCATCTCAGTATGTTATTAGCCTTTTGAGTATGATTATTGTGGGTTAAGATTATCCTGGTTTCCACTATCTGCTAACACAGTTGACATGGTCTTTCGAAAAGATTATATAATTTACTTCCTAATTCTGCCGTGAGAAGTGGACCAAAGTAACTAACTAACAAGAATTACTAAATGACAGAAATGCCCTTCAGCTGATGGGCATAAGGATGGGAATGGAAAAGGAAAAAGAAAGGTTGGTGGACTTGGTTTGGTTTGGTTTGGTTTGGTTTGTCTAACCATTTCTGACCCTACCCTACCCTACCCTACTGCTTAGAACGTTTGGTTGGCTCTATCTGGCTATTAACTTTCTCCATTTTCATCTCCAGAATATGAGAGAGAGAGAGAGAGAGAATCTACCAGTCAATCCAAACTAACTATGCAACAGTTAGTTTTGAACCCTCATCCAACACACGACCTCCACGTGTCTTTAATTCTCACAAAAAAAATGATTCCTATGCAGTAATTATGAAATATGACGAATTGGTTAATTTTGACTTATTTTTATTAAGTAGTTAAAAGATAAGAAATGACTTATTTAATATGTTTTGCAGTTGTTTATTAGTTTAGAGCACTATATAAACAATGTCACATTCACAATCATATGAGTGATTAATTTTTTGAAAATAATTATTAAAAAATTAATAAATTTATAATATCTTGCTATAAAACCGAGTGATATAAAACAACTAAAACAGAAACGTATAGAGGAGGAGGAGTCTTCTCACAACGGCTTTGAAGCCGTGTGGGTGTGGGGTATAAAATATGTCTGAACCTTCTCATATACAAGAACTCTGCTTCTCTCTGCTCATGCTTTCGGTGACATTTTTAAACCCTTTTTTTCCCCCTCAACTCTTTATGTAATTTGCTTAAGTGAGATTGTTGTGACCCCATTCTATCATTGTATTGTATCATCATCATCATCATCATCATCATCTTATAACAATGTAATCAGCAAAAGAGACCAAGCAATCATTTTACGCTTTTCTTCCAAGCACAACTTTTTCAGCTTCAGGTTTCTGGGTAAGTTATACTCTTCTTCTTTCTTCTTCGCCTTCTCTTTTTGCTTCAAACATATATACATATATTTAGATGCCTGTTCATGCATAATTAAGTACTTGTTTTTGGTAATTGTGAATCAAGTTTAGTGGTTGAAGTTGATGAGTGTGACATAATTAAACATAGCAGAATGGTTGGTTATATAGTACTTGTTAAATGTGTTCCTCTGTTTTTCAAATATGAGTGCTTCATGTTTACAAAGCCAAACATGAACGTAACCGATTCGTCTCAAGTTTCTCAACTTCTATTACAATGTTACTTGTAACTTCTACATAACCATTTTTTTCGTTTGTTCATTCCTAAGAAGTTAACCATTTGAGAGGATTACGAGGGTGTTCAAGTTTTTACAAGGAAATGCATGCCCTGTTTTCTCTGTTTGTGTTTTAGGTGAAAACATAATATCGTTGCACAGTTGAACCGCCTATGAGATTGCACCCATCTCTCTGTTTGTGTTTTAGGTGAGTAAATAATTATGTTACAATGATCATAATATCTTATCATATTTTATTTGGCATATATAAAATATAATAATATACCCTACCAATTAAGTCTCTTAACATTGCAGTAGTGATGTTTTAAAATTTGTTCAAAATTCATCATGATTTGTTGAAAACTCGCTACATTCTAGCACTTGGTGTAAAAGGGTAGTTTTAGAAAAGACAATTACAGGTTTTTTTTTTTTTTGTTAAATTCAAACTTCACGTAATAATTATCCGGACCAAAATAGATGGGATCGATTTCATACATCCCCTGTATGTTCAAAATATTATGTAAGCATACTAAAGTAGTGATACCAGGTGTTCTACAAAATTAAGTAATTTTAATGTAGTGCCAAGATTGAATATTGGGGTGACTCCACTAATATGCAATGTGTATGTTAATGTAAAATGTAAATTGTAAAATGTAAACTACCACCCACCTACCACCTCCACTACCACTCACTCCACCTACCACCTCCACTACCACCTACACCTACTACCATCTTCTTCTCTATATATAGGAATTGTAATATACAACAAATATATCAATCAATCATCAATACATAATTCATTCTCTCTCTTTCTCTATCAATTTATCTAACAGTGTACAACCTTCTTGTGCATTTGTCAATATATATATATATATATATAAAGCAGAGAAAATTACCCAAGCGCGCTCGGTAAAACATTGAAATGGAAAGTTTGAAAGACTAGATTAAATTGTAAACCTATGAATTCTTTTAATCATCCCTCATAACTATGACCTTAATCAGCGAAAAGATAAAAACACACAAAATAAATTTAAAAAACAAATACAAAATTAAAAAAAATAGATAAAAGTGATTTGAACTTTAGAGATACATATATATCATAAGTAATTTTTGTCTATGGTGATACTCTACCGTGGGTTGACAAGACTTTGCATACACAAGATGAATGGCATAGAAAGCAAAAACAAAGTTGATTAGTAGTTTTGACGCCCAAAACCAACTTGATACAGTTAGTTTAGACCGTTAGATTTTTCCAAAGTTCCTTGTGAAGTCAAAATAAAAATACAAAAGAAAAAAAAAAATTCAAAGAGCACAAACTTTTCAAAGAAGTGAATAAACAGGCACGTCTCACATGGAAAGGACAAAGAAAGCACAAACCAAACTACGTCTCACGTAGAAAGGATGTAAGAAAATGCAGACCTAACTACGCCTTGCGTAGGAAGGGTGAAGGGCGACGTAACCGTGACTATTTTAGTAAATTATTTTGAATTTCAACAATACTATACTTGAAAAAATTATTCAAAAAAATGAATTAATACATTACATTTATTATAAACGTAACCCGAATCTCATTAATTTTAAATTTATACTATATATTTATTTTTGAAATGAAATTCAAAGTAAATTTTCATAGGGCACAATATTTTTGAATTTTGTATGCTACTAGTAACCTTAGTTGTAAAAAATGAATTTTTTATACATTCAATTTTTTATTAAAAGCATGTGTTATAAATATTATTGAATGTTTTCAAATTGATAAAAGGAATGAGAACGTCAAACAAAAAGTTGGAAGATGTATGACCTCTTGCTATTTTTCGATGGGGTGCGTCCACAACAAGTCAACCATCCACCAATCAATCACCACTCGAACTAAAACAGAGACTGATAGGTGGCTACGTTTGGGTTGGAAGGTCAGATCAGATACGGTACGAGTGTCGTACGAATCAATAAACTCTTCATATTTACTTAAAATATAAATTATTTTTTAGAATTTAAAAAATTATAAATTTTTTTTTATTAAAATTATTTATTTAATAAAATTAATTAAAAAATAAAATTTATAATTTTTCTCTTATACAATAATAAAATTACTTAAATTATTAATTGAAACATATTTCTAATATTATTAAAAATTGTTAATTGACTTGATAATTTATTAATAAAATTGGTTATTTGTTATGAAATTAGAAATCTCAAAAAATAAAATGGAATTTCAAAACTACACAGGATAATTCACATTTTAATCAAACTCCAAAGTGTATTTATAATTTACCCATGAATATAAAATGGATAAATTATACTTTTATTTCTTTTCAAATTTCAATAAAATATATTTAATCTTATACTTTTGACATAATTATATTATTTTTATTCTAATATGAAATGAAGGTGACTACAAAGAAGTGAGTCATTTTTTGAGGTTTGGACGTCCAAGGTTAGACGATTAAGTATACGGCTCCACACCCCTTAAAAATTTTAGTATCCAAGGAAAAATTATATATGTTTGGTTTTGAATTTTTTAAAAACAATTTTTAGTTATTAATTCATATTTTTTTATTTTTAATATTTTGGTTAATTGTTTTTATTTTTTAAATGCATCTAATCTAGACATACTTAAAATAAAAATATTTGTGAAGAAAACTTCAAAATAATTCAATAAATACAAAAATATAATGAAAATATATTATTTTTCATATTTTTTAGTGTTTAGTGATTTTTTTTTAAAAAAAATTTATAAATGTTATACTTTTTAAGTGTATTTAGATTAAATGAATATAAAAGTTAAAAAATATTTTAAAATTTTACTAAAAATAAATAAAAAATACAAATTAAAATCTTAAAAACTATTTTTAAAAATCCCAAAATCAAACAAAGTAGTCATTCTGGCCTATATCTTATGTGGTGCATTTTGCAACTGTATAGAGTTATTTATTTATTTATTTTTTTTTTATTTTTTGATTCAAAAGAAAGATAACAAGAACAACAACAACAGTCTAAAGCATAGGGCTAAACAAGCTTAAGCCCTTTCACAAGATGATCCAAGTATATCTGCAACAAGCAGACTAGCAATTTCAGTAGGGGGTTTCTCTAACACTAACAGATTTTCTCCATGAGACACTCTCATATTTGCAAACCCATCAGCACATTTGTTCCCTTCACGGAGGATGTGGCTAACCTCACAGTTGCATCTGTGCATGAGGAATTTGATATCCTCTAGTAGTGCTCTATAAGGGTAGTTACTGGGTGTAGTATTATTGATGTTGACTACCACTTGTTCTATATCAGTTTCAATTAAAACATCACTCATGCTTTTCTCCAAAATGATGGTAAAACCTCTATAGATGCCCCAAAGTTCAGCTTCCTTGCTTGTAGCTAACTCTAATTTCCCATGAAATCCAAAAATCCCAGCTTCTCGAGCATCTTTGCACAAACCACCATATCCAGCAGGGCCAGGGTTTTCTTTGGAGCATCCATCCGTGTTGAGCTTGATTTTTCTTGCACAAGGAGGGCACCAATTAGTTTTAAAATGTAAGTAGTCACCTGTGAAGTGGTCTGTGTAAAAGGCATAGTGTATTTCTACTGCTTCATGTTGAATCTGTCTCACTATTTCCTAGGTATGAAAGTCCTCATGTTTGAACACTACATTGTTTCTAGCCTTCCATAACATCCACAAGGCCACTACAAAGACAATGCCCCAAGGGATATTAAAACACTCTCTGTTCGTGCTTGTTAAGTTATGCTGGAGCCATGTGTCCAAGGAGGTGTGAAGATTGGGAGCTCTCCAGCTATCATGAGTTAGGATGTCCTAGACTTCCATAGTTTTTTTGCACTCTCTTAACAAATGGTTCAGGTCCTCGCAATAGATCTGACATCGTGGGCAGGTGTCATCGGTGGTGAGGCCTCTGATCTTCCTTTGGTGGTTAGTGAGCACCTTGTTAAGTATCAGCAGCCAAATAAAGCCTTTCAATTTTTGAAGGATCTTCAATTTCCAGGTCCAGTGCCAGTTCTAGGCCAGTTGCCTAAGTAGCAGCTTGATTAGCAATCAAATTATAGGCAACCTAACAGTAAAACCACCAGTTGATGAGTCAATCCAGTAAGGGTTATCGCCTAGCTCAATAAATTATGGAAGATGAATCTGGTGGATCTGATGTTTCATAAATTATGGTAGGATATTGGCAACCCCCTCCATATCCCATTCTCATTCCTCATTAATTATATCAGCAACTTTGACATCCTCTTTGATATGTGGTCTTGGAAAAATAAAGGCAAGAGGCCCATTTCCACACCACCAATCTTTCCAAAACGAAATGGTTTTGCCGTTGCCAACTGTCCATTTGGTTCCCTTTGCCAGAATGTCTCTAGTCTTCATGATGCTCCTCTAAGTTTGTGATGCATTCTTGTTAGGAGGCCAGTTAGAAAAAGTGTTCTTGTGTAAGTATCTGCCCCTGAGAATTTTGGACCAAGCAACATCTTTATCATCAAAGTTGATCTTTCATCCCAATTTAGCTAAGAGTGCTACATTCTGATCTTCAGCCTTTCTAAGACCCAGTCCTCCTTCTTGCTTAGCTTTACAGACTTATTTCTAATTTACCGAATGGACTTTCTTTCTTCCTTCTTGATCACCCCATAGGAAGTTTCTATTCAACTTGTCGATGTGTTTGCAAATGCTTTGGGGAAGTTTAGAGGTTTGCATAATGTAGGCAAGTATAGAAGA